AAACTAGACAAATAGGTTTGCGTGGAACCTCGCTTTGCGTGGAAAGTTGCAAACCCATGTGGAACCTCGCTTCGCGTGGAAAAGTGTATGCGTGGAAACAGTGGGTTCCGCCCCCCTGCGGGGGGCTCCACTACCGAGAAACTAGACAAATAGGTTTGCGTGGAACTTCGCTCTGCGTGGAAAGTTGCAAGCCCATGTGGGACCTCGCTTCGCGTGGAAAAGTGTATGCGTGGAAACAGTGGGTTCCGCCCCCCTGCGGGGGGCTCCACTACCGAGAAACTAGACAAATAGGTTTGCGTGGAACTTCGCTCTGCGTGGAAAGTTGCAAGCCCATGTGGGACCTCGCTTCGCGTGGAAAAGTGTATGCGTGGAAACAGTGGGTTCCGCCCCCCTGCGGGGGGCTCCACTACCGAGAAACTAGACAAATAGGTTTGCGTGGAACTTCGCTCTGCGTGGAAAGTTGCAAGCCCATGTGGGACCTCGCTTCGCGTGGAAAAGTGTATGCGTGGAAACAGTGGGTTCCGCCCCCCTGCGGGGGGCTCCACTACCGAAAAACTAGACAAATAGGTTTGCGTGGAACTTCGCTCTGCGTGGAAAGTTGCAAACCCATGTGGAACCTGGCTTCGCGTGAAAAAGTGTATGCGTGGAAACAATGGGTTCCGCCCCCCTGCGGGGGGCTCCACTACCGAAAAACTAGACAAATAGGTTTGCGTGGAACTTCGCTCTGCGTGGAAAGTTGCAAACCCATGTGGAACCTGGCTTCGCGTGAAAAAGTGTATGCGTGGAAACAGTGGGTTCCGCCCCCCTGCGGGGGGCTCCACTACCGAAAAACTAGACAAATAGGTTTGCGTGGAACTTCGCTCTGCGTGGAAAGTTGCAAACCCATGTGGAACCTGGCTTCGCGTGAAAAAGTGTATGCGTGGAAACAGTGGGTTCCGCCCCCCTGCGGGGGGCTCCACTACCGAAAAACTAGACAAATAGGTTTGCGTGGAACCTCGCTCTACGTGGAAAGTTGTAAACCCATGTGGAATCGTATATGTACTGCAAAGTACATGCTTAGATGGGAGAACAGATATAAGATTTAGATTCCATCGTTTTTGTTGAAAACTATCGTACGGTAAAAATTAATAGGACATAAAATGTTTTTCTCTGTAAGATCTAAAATTGTTATGGGTTTTTCATGATTTTCACTATGAAAATGAGAGATGCACCAATTTTCATTATGATATTCGTAATCAGTGCATCAAAATACGTAAGAATACTGAGTTTCAAAAAAATCAGAGGTGAGCACTTTTCGGAACTTCACCTGCCGTTTTTATTCTTTAACATCGATTTTCTCGAAAACTTTCAGTTTTACGCAAAAAATGTATAGAACATAAATGATGTATTTTTACAAGAACTACAACTTTTATTTGACACATTTTTTTCTTACATCAATATTTATCGAAATAATATTTAAAAAGTTATATTTTTTCAGTTTTTTTGAGTTTTGACCTTGAAAATGACCTTGTCGCAAATTTTCATTATCATATTCGTAATCAGCGTTCAAAAATACAAAAAATAGTGTAGTTTCAAAAAAATCGGAGGGTTCACCTATTCGGAACTCCACCCGATTTTTTCTATCTTTATGTTTAATATTTAATTGCCAAATATCCCTAATTTTCGAATCGTTTTAATAACTCGTCAACATCGTTGACAACAGCGTTGAAATAAACAGTAGTCTCAATAAAAGCGACAGTCTTGGGATGCTTTACGTAAGATCGACATCGAATCACGTTTGTATTTTATACGCAAGCATACATAACACGATTCTAAAAGCGCACAGCTATGTCCGACGCGTATCGACCATCAACGTAAAGCTTGTCGAACACTTGTCGTCGACTTTGCCCGCACTTGAGAAGTTCCCACGATGTTGACGAGCTCCACGTGTCGAACAAAGCGCCGCGCGATATTGCTTATCCATCCATGCAGTGAAATCATGTTAGTTCGATATACATGATCCCCGCGGAATAGCGAACATTACCAGTTATCGTAAAGCTTGTTCATCCGCTTGTTCAATCGTGTTCGATTCAGGGTACCATACGATTTCCATTTCAATCGTGGAAACATCCATCGAAGTTACACGCAACTTATACTATTTTCCGTAATATTGCATTTGACGGATGAAATAAATGTTGCTCTCTAAACAATTTCACGCGAATAAATACTGAATAATTCCGTAGCTAAGATATTAAACGTTATATCTAAATTCTGAAGACGTAGAATTGAATTTACATGGATACTAGAATTTTATTATTCAGTCGCAATTTACGACTTACAATTAGTTTGCTTTCTTTTTCAATCGCGTATAATCTTCAAAGAACGCGTCTCATAATTGTATTAAAATAAATCGCTTAAGTGTTTGAAGAATACTCAATTAGATTGAAGAAAGATTCTGATACCTTGTATTTTATCAAGATAAGATATATATATATGCGCAATAAATGTGTATGTATATCTTGGATCATTATCCGAGTGTAATGCACTTTAGCTCTTAAGACTATATTAACCTGTATGCCCCTCCCCCCACACACACATACATTGGCCTATCCATTATAATCCTTGATATACAGATTGGTCGAGAGAATCCTTCTCAAGGACTGACTCAATGATGGTTGCTATCAATCTATTATCACATAAATGGAGTGATTATTTAGCATAGCATAATGCTAGCAAATCTGATGAAATGTAAAATTATTTTTGGATAATTAACAGAATTATCTATTATATGCAGATAAAGATAGATGGCAAACAAAACTAATTTAATCTAATTGTTGTAATATTTCAAGTTTGTATTAAGATTTAAAAATTTGTGCTTGTATTATAATTATATTTAATATATGTATATAACACATGCTTTTATAATTGAATTTTTATACTTCAATTCATAGTTTTATTTTATTCTACTTTATTATATATTTTATTATATACTTTTATTTTTCTTATTGTTTTTAAATTATATATCGAAATTAAATATTCCCTATGGCATTAATTTATTTTACAGGAAAGGCTTCTGCTCAGCGTATTACCCAGACATGTCGCCATGGAAATGAAAGCTGATATAGCCGGAAAGCCAAAGGATACGATGTTTCACAAAATTTATATTCAAAGACACGATAACGTCAGGTACGTCACATAAAATAAAAACCACTTAAAACGCGCGCTTTAAAAAAAAATCTATTATTTTAAAATGCCACTTCAATATTTCGCAAATGAGATCCAATTCCTTTGTCATAATTCAAAGAAATTTATTACGATTTATATCGATATTATAACGTCCTCTGCCGAATTCGAAATGACATTCATAATCATTCAATCACGCAATTACATGTAACTTCAAAATGAAAATTTAACGTGTTATAGCGATACCACGCATCTGATTTAAGTTTCCATAGAGAGAATTCTAGATCGACTTGTAGTGAGTTAACGTATAGACGTAACATCCGAACTTTCATATCTGGCATTTCACCAAGCTCGGATCAATCTAACTTAACCGGCGAATTTGCAAAGAGCAAACGTCACGTTCATTTAACTTTAATGAGTTTCCATGATCTTGCGACAATTTTTCATTGCTAGTCCTTTCTTTTCTTTTCAAATTATTTAAACCAATATTTTTCTATGTCTATAACTCTGTTACAGTTGAAATTAATTATCGAAAATTCTTTGTTTAAGAGTGTTTGCCCAGAAATTGTTCTAATTAAAGCAAGAATTTAACCATAAAATAACCGGTTTTAGATACTTATTTAATTTCAAATATTTCAGCATTCTATTCGCCGATATTTGTGGATTTACTTCGCTCTCCGATCAATGCACTGCCGAAGAGCTCGTCAGATTGCTCAACGAACTTTTTGCACGGTAAGAGAAACGCTGTAATAAAAGAGAAACCACGCTATTTGATCCAAACTTGCTTAAAAATTCCATGCATATTAAGATGAATAAATAAATCGACTTTAATCGAATGGCTAGTGTTACAATATTATCTTTTTATATATTTTTTCTAGCTACGAATTTTTCAGAACGTACATCCATAAGATCAATATTTCTAAATATTGCCACAAAGAATAAAATAGAATTTCAATGCATAAATCTCGAAACAATTTTTATAGACCTGGTGATTTCTAAAAGCAGTGTAGCGGAATAAATCACATTAAATCAACAAAGTTGATTTCTAGCTTATTTGACTCGATATTAATTTTTTTTTCCTCTCCTCTGTGCAGTTTTGATCTCTTGGGTCTCGTAAACATTCTTGTTCTTCCGGTTCACAGAATCCTCTCTTTATATCCGCGGATATAAATCCCCTTTGCAATCTTGCAAATTGTATCTTTATGGAATATCACTCTAACACGCGTTTGCGTTTTGCAAACTACGTACAAGTCACGTTATTGTAATCCTCAAGTCGAATTACGTGACGTTCCCATAAAATTTCTTTGACTATTCCCGACTATTTTCAACTATATGAGAGAAATCTGCGATGTCAAACTATAAGTTATATTTATAAAATTTTTTAACATCTCTCAATTCACGATTAACGCGCTATTCGTAGAATAATATTCTGCATATATTATATTTTCGGGAGATTAATTTTTAGATATGTATTTATTAAAGCATTACCCCCCTTATCTTGATGAATAACGTCTGTCTCATATTTGTATCAAGAGTTTCTCGACACCATCGATACCCTCCCAAGTTTTCCTCGATCGAATCATATTCCTCATGTCTAACAAGCCCTCGAGAAGCCCTTCGACAGCTTTAGGTTTCGCGTCCCTGGTGACTTTTCGGGTCAATAGGGTCTACTTATCCTAGTACCAAGAGGGATTTGCTAAAAGGTCATAAAGGCGGCTTTCATATATCAGTATGGTCGAGATCATTTTCTGGGCTTCTGCGAATACAACGCCTGCATTCCCACAAGAAAAGGCAAAATTACCTCTTAAGAATGTTTGGGGAATAAGATGGAGAACATAAAAGAGTGTCAATAATCGTCGAATTTCGATGAAGAATGTGAAATAAAATTTTCCTCATTCTGGCATTATTAAAAAATAATTGTAATACATATCGTGTATACATCTTTGGATTATATTAAATAATAAAAATTAACAAATCGATTATTAGTAAATATTTTTTATACAAAACATTTGCCAAAAGCATATTTTTTTTATATTTTTTATATACATTTTGCATAATGAATAAATAGTAAATGTGTGTTGCGCATAATATTCCAATATTAATGTTGAAATAAAAAGCTCTATTATCGATTTAACTCTCAAAGATTCATCCGTTAATAATTAAATTATTTAATTGCCACATTTGCGTCGCAACTGTATATGTAGCTTCCCATCGAGACTGTTATTTCGTATACATATCATATTAAACTAGTTTAACATAATACACTATGCGTTACGCGGATTTGCCGCGTGTGAAATATTAATATATCCCTTCCGGCACCCTGAATTAATTTCATATAATACGCGCCGCACCAAGTGCGACGTTACTGAATATCTAATCTGAATAAACCGATAATCTCTCGGTTATTAGGGCCTTACCTTTTGTCGACGTGCTATCTCCATTCTATCGTCTCGACTTAATTTAATCGTATTTAACCACTTAATCCTACTCAATCATCTTTTTCGTATTGAGTTTATCAAGTCAATGTCAAGAAAAAAAAAGAAACTTAATTATGAATTACAAAGAAAACTTTAACAAAACATTTTGATATAAATGAAAATTGCACGATATTATGCCTTCGCGTGAAATTAAAAAAATATTGCAGAAATTACATAAAACGTAGAGTGTGGAGAAAAATAGTAGATACTTTTGTACACAGAGTATGTTGTTACAAACATGGCTTCCGCGTGAGTAGGTTTGACCGCAAAAGTCACAGCGTTATACGTAGTATTTTTGCGAAAAAGGTTTCTCTCGATTTCTTCGAACTGAATTTTTCGCTCGACCAGAATTCAGAGTCTCTTTGACATTATTACGTTTAAATAAATTATTACGTTAAATTTCTTGGAAATATTTTGCAGGTTTGACAGGCTAGCCGCTGAGCATCACTGCCTCAGGATAAAGCTTCTCGGAGACTGTTATTATTGCGTTTCCGGACTTCCGGAGCCACGACCCGATCACGCTCATTGTTGCGTAGAAATGGGACTGGACATGATCGACGCAATAACGTAAGCCCACATATTTTTTTTTACCCTCACGTAAGCTTCATTAAATCTTTATCATATAATGTAATAAGATCTTCTTTCTGTCGAAAAACGTGTTGTATATATGATAATTGATAATAAATAATTAAATCATAATAGCTTTATCACGATTCAAAACGTATCCATATTTGACATCATAAAATAACAAAAATATATATCACAGAGAGATTTCGTCGGCAATGTCAAAGATTCGCATAGCATTTCATATGCTATGCGCTTGATATCGGACAAAGGAGAAACGCAAGATAGAAATAGTCGAAGATAGAATATCGAAAGCTGCCCGGAAGCGAACTAAACGGATCAAAGTAACATGCGATCAATAAGTGATGTTTTCGTTTGTATACGTGAGACGACCGCAGAAAACCGGCGTTGCTGTGTCGTACATGTCCCGCGTTCGTTTCGTTCGTGTTTTCATAATACGCGTTTCATCGTCAAAGAGAAGATTTCCTTGGAGAATATATGCACTCGCGATTGAGGCTGATACATTGAAATGAGTCACCATGAAAGCGCACCCTGGTCTTTCCACAGGTCACTGAATTGCGGATAAATTCCCGACGAGTATACGCATTTGAATTTCAATTTTAATCTAGCGTTAACCCTTCGTTATAGATTTCCCTTTGTCAAACTTGACGGTGTCTTACAATAGTCTCTTGCACTCGAAATATTTGCCGCGCGCAAAACCCTCTCGTCAAACTGCGACAAAAGGTCAAGTTTGACTTCAAGTTTTATCAAAAATTTTAATTACAAATGAAATAGAAGATGTGGAAATTAAATTATTTATTCAGTTTTTGTATGAGAATGGCTACTTAAATGCAGAGAGTTTAATAGGTTCATCCTTGACAAAAAAATAATCAAATTAAAAATACCAAATGAAGAGATATTTTCTGAACTTAACTCTATATTCAACTGCGTTATTAAATCAATATTTCAATATTGATCAACGCAACATTGAAACGTTCATTGAATCATTTAAACATTTAGCACAAAATAAAAACGAAGAAACACTTATTTAGTTAGCAAACAGTATTAAGAGTTTGTATGACATTAAAAAATTACCAAAATATAATAGAAAATGAATTTGAGTCCCATACTATATTATTCAATCGGTTAAAAAATAAATTTGAAAATATTCGAGGCGAATATTTTACCAAGCGTAATAGATATTACAAATGTGATATTGTCACAATTATAGAGAAAATAACGAGAATAGTGATTGAATTAAAAATGTTTAACAGACGAAATCCAAAAGATGCTCTCAACCAAATAGTGGACAATGAATACTATCAAATATTAAGTGATAAAACTATTATTTATAAATTATATACAAATATATTTTATAATAAAACATTTTTAACATTTTTTTATTCGCGTACAAACAAAATTTGTCAGAAATCAACAGACATAGAAAGTCAATGTACGAATAAAAACGCGCGAGAAATCATGAAAAGAGAAGGGATATCCATATTGAAGAATAATTATCGCAATTGAACGTGGATCGACCGTGTCGCGAAAGAGAATCGATGTTTACGCGTCAATATTTACGCATCCTTCTCTTTCCCGTTTCACCAATAATGAAAATACTTTGACTTATCCAATAGTTCGAGCATCGAAATAACATTCTTCGAGCTACGCTTAACGATAAAAGTTGTTTTTCATTTCATGCCACGACCGGCTCGGTTATCCGGCTACTTCCGCGCCTAATGACGAACAGAGAAGAGACCATAAATTTACGCGTCCGTATCTCTTCGTAGATTGGTTCGCGAAGTAATGGCCGTAAACGTGAATATGAGAGTCGGCATCCACACGGGTCGGGTTCACTGCGGGGTTCTCGGTCTGAGAAAATGGCAGTTCGATGTTTGGAGCAACGACGTGACCTTAGCCAATTACATGGAAAGCGGAGGGATACCCGGGTGAGTATAAGCAATTTTGTTCGAGGTATACCGGCCCTCAACTGACTCGTTCTTTTCAAACCTCGCCCCGATCGACGGCGATATACATTACGTCGGTGAACCCCCCCATACAATTTTATACGCCTCTTAGTCCTCATTAAATATAATACCTCGCATAAAAAAATTTCACTTTTCTTGCGAAATTTATTTAAATAATAAAAAAGTATATTTGCAAAAAAAAAAATATATATATATATATAATTTCTATTGAGACGCAATTCCTTTAACGTCGGCAACAAATGTCGGTATATCAACGGTGCTAATATTAGATGGAAGATATGGTGTTTCGCAGACGCGTGCACATCACGAAAGAGACCTTAGATTGCTTGGGTGGATATTACGAAGTCGAGGAAGGCCGTGGAGGCGAGAGAAACGCGTATTTGAAGGACCACAACATCAGAACCTACTTAATTGTCCCTGGAGACACGTTCAAGGATAATATAACTAGTTCGGGGATGCGAAAGAATTTTCCAGCGAATGGTAATGTGTCCAAAGAGATGAGGGTCATGGGTCACGGCTCGCAACATGGGAAACAAACCAAGTAAGCGAGCTCTTTAATTATTGCTGCTCAATCTCTTAGCTCTTGATGTATAACGTCATAAACGACGATACACAATCCCGTTATATTACCCAAATAATTCCCGAGTAATCCCAAAAATTATGAGACGGCGAAACATTGCTTTTAATTCTGTGATAATTAAAAGATAATCATATACAATTGTTCTATCCGCGTTTTTTAATTTACAACAACTGTAAAATGTCATTAATAAATTGACAAAAATAACGCGATTAATCTATAATAAATGTTACAAATATGGAATAATTAACATCGAACGTCAAGTTATATAATGTCGTTTAATATTCGAGTAATATTTGCCGTGTGTTTTAGTAGATTAGGCTTCGGCGAAATCATCGAGGGCGAAAAGGATCCCGAAGATGAGGTGAACGAATATCTGATGCGAGCAATCGATGCTAGAAGCATAGATCGATTGAGAGCGGAACATTGTACGCCCTTTATACTAAAGTTCCGAAGACCGGATGTCGAGGAAAAGGTACTGAATAAAATACTAAATAAAATGAATAAAAAAAAAATAATAATATTCGCCGAATTATGACGTATCAAATTGTAAAAAATATTTATAATTACACTTTATCTAATTATATTTTTATAATCTCTCATCTTTTTTAATAAAATCGATTTTAACATAAAACTATGAGATAACTAATGATGATATTTATTAGAATTATTATCGAATTTTTAGTGATAATTTTTATAAAATATTTATATTATATTAATTTTATACAATATTTTTTAAACGCTTAGGAAAGAATTATATTCTATTTATTTTATTTCGGGAGTTTGTAATTAATTTAAGTAACATGTGCAAAATACGAGTTATAATTACATGTTCATATTGCGTATATACAATTAAATTCAACCAATCGACGCAGTAATCGATGCTTAAATAGAAGTTCGTTTAAATTTAATTAAATTTTGGTTAATTCGCTAAACGGATATTTGGATTATCCGGCTTCCGCGTAATTTAATCGCGCCTCACAATCGATTTGTAACGACGTTCTACATTTTCGCATTAAAAAAAAAAGTTTCAAACGAATTGTTCACGATGAGAAACCAACAGTTAAAATAAATGCAGTGCGTTAGCTATAAACACTCGGCAGTACAAATGGAAACAATACGGGATATTGCAATTGTTTTAATTACCTGTTGCAGTACTCGCGCGAGAGGGACAGGATGCTCTCCGCTTATTTCGTGTGCTCCGGTTTTGTCTACATGGTCGTTGTGGTCGCAATAGCCATCACCCTCGCCGGGTAAATACACGTGGTCAATAAATCCTACCTTCTATAGAGTCATATACACGCGCGATACCTGTAACTACGCTCCCAATCAACGATCTGTATGCTCACGTGTGCTTCACGCTAGTCTGGAATTGTTCTCCGTTTCACTAATTGTAGCAACCGCTATCGAATAATCGTGGTTGACATCTCGAAGAATATATAGTAATATAAAATATGAATGCATATACGGAATATATTCTGTTTCTTCAATTCGAAATTGTTAATGAACAATTGATATGTATCACTATTTTACGTTACTTTAACAATGATTAAAGTTTTATTAAAAAATATTAATAAAGATTAAAGTTTCATTCTATTCGGCGATTCTTATGTTAATTCGCGTTTTCGATTTGAAAATGACTAGTTCATGCTCGAGTAGATGAAAAAACCGAATCTCCATTTTTTCGATCCCTATTTTAAATAAATATATATATTTCACGAAATACATGCTTCAACAGCTGCGATATTATTACATAATTTTGCAAGTCAAAATTTTCCTATTTTTAATCTCAAATTTCTTACATTTCTAATTTCCAACGTTTCATGGATTCTAGAAGATTTTGATAGATTTATTTCATATACATAAAATGATTTAAGTTCCTATTTTGTACTTCAAATAAATAATAAACGTACATCAATATCAATAAATATTAAAAAAAAAAAAAAAATTGCTCAATAATTTAACTGATATTAATTTGATAGTACAATCTACGCGATAATCGAAGAGTCTTTCGTAAAAAGAAAAGCTCGGAAAAATCGCGCTAAAAGTGTCTTTTATATTTATAGGAGCGTATACTTTTACGTCTGCACCGCGATTAGCATACTGGTGATATCCTTGATCAATGCCATCTTATTAGCGGAACAGAACGAGGTAAGCTCATTTGAAACACGTAAAACTTTCCGCGATATTTCTCGAAAATTGCAAAAATCTTGCGTCATAAAAATTATATTTCTCCTCTCACGATAATTATGCCGAAATACATCACATATACATCTATTAATATACAAGCGCGATATTTAAATCGCGCAGGTGATACATCACGTATCATCTCGAGTCGATGACGAGATTTTCTGGAAGTGCCACTTCCTCTTGACCTTAACCAAGTGGCAGGCTTCCAGGTCACTGTCGAAACCATCGATCCCAGTAGTAGCCTTTCCCCCCCTCATCTCCTTGTGATCCCGGAGATCATCCCCCAATCTATAGGTTTTAATTAATCGAAGATAATCGTGCGCGTTTTTTTAGAGAGTACCGCAATGGGTGAGAAGCACGGCCTTACAGATTTTCGAGAATCGCATCATCGCGCAAAGTATCGCGTCCATCGTCGTCTTTCTGACGTTAATCACGGTATTGTCACCGTTGGTAAGTGATCGATGCGCTCATATTTAAATTAGGTTTATCGTTTGCATTTTGCGAAAAGCTCTCTGTCAACTGTCTCTTTTCATTATTATTTATTATTATTTTTATGTGAATAAATTATATTTTTATATAATATATATTTTTATGTGAATAAAAATAATAATAAATTCACATAAAAATATATAATATATAAAAATATAATTTATTTATATAAAAATAATAATAAATAATAATGAAAAGAGACAGCTGTCATTTTTATTTTTATGTGAATAAAAATAATAATAAATAAGTTTTATACAATATTAGAGAAATAATTTGTTAAGCGATTCGCGGGTAGTTGCATGCGCTCTCTATCCTCTTTTTATATTTTCAATCAGATTTCGATTGATCCCGCGTCGCTCTCGTTTCGGAAAACCCGTTATGCTAAAAATTATAGCGCAACATAAATTCTAGTTGGCCGGTGTTAAAACTTTCGACGATAAATCGCGTGCACGGGTGTCGATCCAGCGATTAATCACAAATGCCGCGGAATAATAGTATTGATGCAAACGTTTAAATCACACGAGCGTACGGAAGGATCACGTCGGTCGTATGCCGGATATTACGCCTTTCAGCGATCGAACGAGATCTATTCGTTCCCGTAATAAAACAGCGGTAAATAACGGCCGGTTCGTGTCCCTTGCTCTCGCAGATCACGCTAGAAGGAAGTAAGGCTTGCGCCAGCAATAACACTTCGCTCCTCGCTGCGGAATGGCTGGACGAGAATTCCACCGTACAGAGAATACCGAAAAAGAGCAGTGACAGCGTCAGCATATGTGATTATATCCTTTTCGGCGACGTAAGTGCAATGTAAATCGGCGGAAGCCGAGACACTTGATATTCCGCGAAGTCATACAAAACACACGAATAATAAATGAATAACAATTTTTCAAATAATCTCAAAAGAGATTAATATTTTTTTCCTTAATTGATGGGGAAAAAAACGCGCAAGATTAACGAATATAATTATCTTTTAATAACAAAATTTTAATTTCTATATAATTGACGTTGAATTTTTTTATCTAGCAATTAAAAGAATGGAATTTTATTAGGATAATATGATTAAAAATACGCGACGTTCATCGCTCTCTACTAACTTTTAAAAAACTTAACTTTTTAAAAAAGCGATTTTTAATAAAAATATCTTTTAGAAAACAATTTTGACGAAATGGCGAGATATAATACGCGACTAAATATACTTCGTAACTATCAATGATTACAGCTGTTTCCGGTTCTGGGAACAATTTTGACGAAATGGCGAGATAATACGCGACTAAATATACTTCGTAACTATCAATGATTACAGCTGTTTCCGGTTCTGGTGATGCTCGTGATGGTGACATGCGCGGTGTACCAGATTCTAACGCTGGTCTTTAAAGTAACCGTATTAAGCATCGTTGTGACTTTTTATCTCGGGGTCAGCATTAACCAGCCATTAAATGAGGCCAACGTCGAGCCCGCTGGGAGATGGTTGGCGAGCGTTTTGGTGGTTTTCTTCATGGCCTGCTTAGTGGCACACTCTCAACACACAGAGGCGACTTACAGGTCCGACATTCTAACACATTTTCTTCATCGCTACAGAACAATGGCCCCGAAACTTAAGCAAAGTCAGCTCATAGATGTATCTCAAAGCTGCACGCTATTAGCTTTTAAGGCCCTCATGAAATTTCTTACGAGAAGCTTCTCGACAAGGAAATGTGGTCGCGACAATTCTCTTGTGAATTGAATCCCGTGGAATAACTTCATAGTCGAGACAAGAAACTACGTATTGGAGAGAATAGATTTATTTGCGAAATGTTTCATGAATATATATTGATGTATATAAGACATAATTATATAAACTAGAACTTAATATGAACAATCTACAATATATTCAGAATTACTGATATATTAAAATGCAACATTTTATTACAAGTCAAAAATTCTAAAAAACACCGATATCAATGCAACACATGAAACATTCCGTATAATCCAAGAACGTAAAATACCGAATTTGGCAGGAAAGAATCAGGCACTTTTTCGACCCATGATATAGAAGAATATTAACGTATACTGTGTGCATCGATACAGATTAGACTTCCTGTGGAAGCTGCAAGCGACCGAGGAGAAGGAGGAAATGGAACACTTGAAAGCCTATAACCAGAAACTGCTCGCGAACATACTTCCGGAACACGTGGCCGCCCACTTTCTGTCTACTGTCAATTCAGACGTAAGCTCCACGCAAAAACTTCCAAGAAAATTTTCGTGGAAATTCTCGTGTTTCTCAAATGCACTGCTAAAATATGATATGTAATTGCTATTAAATTGTTTTAGATATATATATATATATATATATAAAATTTTCTAATTTATATACATGCACACACAAGACATTATTATATACAATTTTCTGATTTGAATAAAACAGTTTGATGATTTTCACTCTGTCCGTTCGACCTAATTGCTTGAGCAATTCTTTTGTAGTCCGCATAAGTAACGTGCTTGAAATACAATAGATATAAAAAAAGAATATTTACAATATGCATTCTGACATTTCCTAACGAGGTTAAGCGATTATAGATTAAACAGTAATTTACATCTGAAGAGTAGCTATACATAAAATAACATCTTGAAGTTTGTCTTAATAAAATTAACTGGCTTTCAACCCTCTTCTAAGAATCTTGTGTCGGCGATAGTTTTATAAAAGTATCACAATTTGTTTCTTTGCTTCTCTTTTATATTTTTTGTTTAAATTAATCTAATTAATATATTTAAGCATATTAATTACATCCTAAATAATTTCATGTTACAGTCAACTGTGAAAAGGGTCGCGTAGGGATTTACTCGAACAATATTGCGCATATTTATGATTCAATTAAGAGTCATTGCCAGAATGTCAAAATTTAATCCTAGCTGTATAGATAAATTAAGAAGCCTTAATTTGTTTACAGGAACCAATGTGAGAGCGAATTTCAACAGTATTATATTTACCTATTTGCCTAATTTGTCGTGCTTCGCGCTCAGAAGCGATTCTAAATTTAATCCATCAAGTTAGACTTAAGATATAAATTTCAATGTGTTTGTGAAATTAAATCTTGATTTATCTCCGTAAAAAAAAAGCGCAAACAAAAAAATTATTACCGAAGATTTAAAATTATCAAAATAATTGTTGTTAAAACTCGAAATTATTAAATTATATGACATCTTTAATAATCAAGTTAATAAATTCCTGTAAAAAAATCTCAATCTATTTGTCAAAAAAAAAAAAAAAAAATAACAGCACACATACAAAATTGATTAATTATTTCGCAGGAGTTGTACCACGAACAATGCGACTTTGTATGCATTATGTTCGCCTCGATCCCGAACTTTTCGGAGTTCTACGTTGAGCTCGAAGCGAATAATGAGGGCGTGGAATGCCTCAGGCTTCTCAACGAGATCATCGCTGACTTTGATGAGTTACTCGCTGAGGAACAGTTCAAGTACATTGAGAAGATCAAGAGCACGGGAGCCACATACATGGCCGCTTCGGGTAAGTCTCTCGCGAATTTCTTAGCGGCATCGATATGCCTTTGATCCGAAGGCCGCGTTTCCGAGCCATCGGCTTTTCACCATTTTAAAAGAACAGCGTGCGCTATTTAATTCCTAGCTCGGCCAAAATTAATCAAATTATAAATTAGCTTAATATCAGGTGATTGCATAAGTTCGTGCCCGATTTAAATATAAACTTCAATAGATTATATTTGCTAGCTCGGCCAAAATTAATCAAATTATAAATTAGCTTAATAATTCTCTAACTGGTTTGGCGATTCGTACAATAAATTCGCAATAATAACATAAAAAATATATAATCTTCAGTTAGACACCTGTGTAACTAATATTTGATAATTATTTATTCGATATCTCGCTATCTGGAACGTATTTTTATTATGCACGTTCGCGTTAAAAAATTGCCATTTTTATTTCAGTAAAGTTTTACACATATTGCATGAAAATAAATCTAATTTTCCACCGTCATCCCGCGGGCTTGCTAATCAAATTACAAGGGACAGACACAGCGATCAAGGATGCTGTCGCGTCAAGTTAACCTTTGTCTCTTTCTTTCTCTGTTGCATCAGGCTTAACGAAAAGCACCTGCGACATGCGAGATTTCAAGCACGTAGTTGCTATGGCGGATTACGCTCTGAGGATCCGCGAGCAGCTGGCCTATGTCAATGAACACAGCTTTAATAACTTCCGCATGCGTGTGGGCATCAACATTGGACCGGTAATGTCGGAAAACGTGAAATTGCAATTTTCAATCGCACGCAGTGCCATTACTCCCTTCGTAAACAATTCGTAGATTACAACGAAAATACATCACTTGAGAATCCGAAGAGATATCAAAAATTTCTAATGGCAATTCAACAAAATTATATTTTACTTCAATTTTAAATTGAGAAAATAGTAGGTTAATATAATAATTAAAAATATTAATTCCGCGACAAATTTTAACAATTTGCAAAAAAAAGTTTATATAAATTTTAGTTCTTTTATTTTAAAGATTGTTCGATTTAAACCTCAATATGCATTAGATGCGCAATTCTTTCACAATATTCTCTCACGTAGTATCATATTTTCGTTATTTCGTATTATACTCGAACTCGGCTGCAAAAAGATATCGAGAAAATTGCTACGGATTCTCAAGGAAAGACTTAATGCGGGACGCGTAAATTACGCAGGTGGTCGCCGGCGTGATCGGCGCCAGAAAGCCGCAGTACGATATCTGGGGCAACGCCGTGAATGTGGCCTCCAGAATGGATTCGACGGGCGTGTTGGACGGGATTCAAGTCACCCAGGAGGTGCGCGATATTCTAATTGCCAAAGGATATCCGTTCACCTGCCGCGGGACAATCCAGGTCAAAGGGAAAGGTAGTATGATAACTTACTTCCTGGACGGACCGAAAGACAACGCGAAGCCCAATCAGGTGGATGTCACCAGGACGAATTCCAACAACAACGACGCGATGGACAAAACACCAGCCAACAACAACAGCAACGGGGCCGTTTGATTGGTATTATTTAGAGGCATCAACAATTAAAGAGTTAATATTAAAGTTTGAATTAAAAGCCTGAAATTTATTTTTTTTTTCTTTTTTAAAATAAAGTGAAATTTATTCTCATTTTCGACAGGCAATAAATAAAAAAATATATAACTCTAATTTTATCTCGTATGTTTAATATCTCTTCTATACAAAAAAAAAAATTAATAAAATAGTATTAAAATAAAAACATAACATTGTTTGTTGAATGAATTTATGAAAAAAAGTTCTTTGATATTGTTTCGTAACTTGGGGAATATTCACTTCTCTCCTCGTGATCGATTTGTCGAATACGCATGATGCATGTTCGATGCAATTACATCATGATACGATAATCGATCGGATAAACGCGTGATGAATCTGGATTCGCGAAGAGAAACGGAACGCGCGCAAAAAGAGATTATTATCTCGGGCGAAACTAATAATCCACAGTAATACACTATCGCAAATATCTATCTGAAATATTTTATAAATTGCTGTCAGAGTATCCGAGTATATCATATTTTATTGCGCTTGCCTCACAACTTTTTTAACTCAACTTTCCACTCTCTTATAATATACGTCAATCATGTCTTTGAAAGTATACCATTATCTATTGTGATTAATGTATGCGCAATCTAAAGTTAAGCAAAAAAGTATGCAAAGAAAAAAGTACCGTACTGTTCAATATTTTATTTAAATCGATACTGCTTTACAAAAAATATACAGCATTTTAATTTAAAAATTACCAAATAAAACTATCTTATTGGCGTATTCTTAAAATTTAAATAGCTTCAATTAACTTATTCAAATGCATACTTTTTATTTAATTCGATGGTATCTGCACATTTTTTCTTTAAAAATTCAATATATTCATTTCAACAAAAATGCTAAAAAAAATAAGTTTTTGCAGAAACAGCTTTGTTATTATTAATCTACTGATCCGCATTTTTTCCGAATAATATATGTATTTTTATTTATTATTTAACATTTGTGCAGCAAAAAGAAAGATTTTACCCGCTGTGCATATTGCGCAACAATATCCTGTTAATGTAAAGTTGTTATTATGTCAAGTTACACCAATAGATTCGCCACGAAAATGAAGTACCTCCATAGTTAGGGGGATCGTTACGTAACACTCTCAACCACATCGCATCGGGCAAATATGCGCGTATTACTGAGGACACATGCACAATCAATCACACAACATACGCGATGGATTTGTGCAAAATCTCGTTATCGCGGCAACTTTTTGGAAATATTTCATATACCAACAGCATGCACGAAATTTATCCACATAAAATGACGTGTATAAAAATGAGTCGATTAATAAAGCATGCTTTAGACGGTTCGGAAAATTAAACAAAATGACTGCAAATTCGATAGTTAAATATTTAACTCGCGATTATGTAATAATCAAGATATTCAAAATTCTATAATTTTGCGAAATGCTAATACATATTTAGATATCAAAACTAATTACTATGGAGATGCAGAAAGTAGCAAAATTAATTTTCAACTTTTATAAAGATTATCGAAGATTCAATTAACGAGTTGTGTGCAGTGAAAGATTAAAAATTTCACCAAGCGCAGTATCATTGTTGCATTATGCAAATATTTGAGATTAAAAATTTGCATGAAAGAGACCTCTATAGATATATGCTTTTCGTAACCCCTAATTTGTATATAGTTTTGTATATATAAATAATTTTGTTTATGCCTGTACATAATTCTTATATAAAATCGCCTCTGGCTCGATCGTTAATGAATCGATAATGTCGACAGGTGGGAATGCTTGAGCAAGAATTCGCGACGAACGACGCGTCACACCGACGATAGAGAAAGTACCAATTATTTGATTCCTGCGTTATTTAAGACTTCTTCTTTGTGCTGAAGCCCAAAAAACGGCCGCATAATCTCTAAAGCGCGTGTATACAAATTGGAGTTGTCGAATGCCGTCCGTAGACGTCAATCGACCTCTGACACACACAAACAAAATAATTGCGCCACTAGTTTTAAGTCTCAAAGCAAACAAAGCGCGATCGACTGTCGCAAAAATAATCCCCGGTGTTTCGGTGCGGATTTCAAAGCGAGTTATGCTTAGTCATTCCAAATTTAACTATACTAAAAGAAAAGGTGCGATTATACAATCGTTAAGATCGAACTGTCGAAATATTTCAAATAATAAAATCTCAAAATTAAAATACTTTTTGCAAATACTTGATAACAAATATCTAAAAAATATTGAATGCAACACTTATCTTTTTCATATATTACAAAAAAGAACTGTTTAATTTCCGTACGCTTAAAAAAATTTCAAGAATAAAAAAAAAATGTAACGACATTTTAATGGCAACAACTGCTTTTTATAAACTATAAAGATAATCAACATTTTCACTAGGGTGTTTGATTCGCCTTGCGTAATTTTATTGAAAATTCATATCTGCTTTAAATACAGCTATTTAACAGCTGCAAATGGCTGGTAAACTGAAGTTAAATGTGTACCGAAATGCCGGACGTTATCGAGATAAGCTGGAAGTGACAAGTCGTTCTCCTCCCAGCTACATCGTACTTAAACTTCAACAATGCCTACAGTGTATGTGATTGTGTGTTAGAAGTCTTCTATTCTCTCTTCGAACGATAATCTAAAATTAATTAAGTGGTATCGCGAGGATTATTTTTTACGGTAATCGGTGCTCGAACAAAAGATACATCGTCAGAAACTTCTCTAGAAAATTTCTTTCGAGGATGAGCATATATGTTGCTAATTAAGTAAAGTATTATGTAGAAATAATTTTTTCAATTTACGCATAAAGTTAAATATACAATATATATACACATAAATCCATATCTAATTAAATTTTCAAACATTTTCGCAAATTATAGTTATTATTTTTACATTTGATTCCCTATAAAATTCAAACAAACTAAGATTTTCAATTTTATAATACATTAAATTCTCATATATTTTGAGATAAATAAAATTATGTTCTATATATGTATTTCAAGCAGATAAATATTTTTCATAACTTGTCAATATACTCTTTAAGCGAGACACAAGAAACAATTATTAATAATTATAATAATAATTTTACATATATGAAAAAAAATTTATTCTCTTACAACAATAAGAACGCCAATATTAACAATAAGAACGCCAACATCCTCGAAGAAATAAACACGCATAATATATACTTATGGATTTAGTATAAAACGCAGCATTAGTTGAAAACTTGGGGCAATAATATGTTAAATCTTACATAGCAATTAAAAATTGTTACAAATAACTCTAATGACATCCAATATATAGTGAACTTTCTGAGCGTTAATTCTAATGAAGTATTATTCTAAGAGAGAAACCACATTTTTTCACTTGATTCAACATGTTATTGACCCAAATACTTCATTTATGATATGTGATTTGTAGATAGCAGTTTGATTATTTTTAATAATTTCTGAATTAATAGCGATATATATATATATATTAATCTCTTTCGTGACGTGTCCGGCAAGTTGGACGTTTTGACACAGATTTTTGTATTATTCTAGTCAATATGAAAAGAGTCTCCCATAAATATATATACGTGTATGTAGTCAAAAATAAATCGAAAAAGATTAAGTCTAATACAACGAAACCGTGGATGAACAAACCTCATATATGTACACAGTTTGCTTTAACAAGAAGGGGACCACGGCAAACTAATTGAATGTAATTATGTAGAATGACGATTGAATTGTAGCCACCTCTAAAAATGTGAAAATATTATTTTTATTTTATATTCGTGTGTTTACTCTCTTTATAATTATGCTAATCGATATTTTAAGTAAGAAAAAGCCCAACATTTCCCAATCTATAGAATTTATTAAAAAATTATTCCCCTGAAGAAAATACTTAAAAATTATAATATATAATCTAAAAATTAATTAATTTATAAAAATCGCTAAAAATTATTGATCTTTTGCATTTTAATGATCGAGAAATTTTACTCTCATATTAAATAACTAAAAATTATATTTCAGTAATATAATTACTTTTTATTGAAATATGTAAGAGAGAATATATAAAATCCAGGATAAAAAATTATAAATTACATTATTCATTCAAGTCAAAGATTGATAAGAATATAAAAATATAATACTATAAAAAATATTAAGAAATAATTACAAAAAATTTAATTCTGTTTCTGTTTTATTTGTTTTATGATTGGGAAATGTACTAAAAAAACGACATTTGTAGATTGTATATATGATTTTTCGCTGTAAATTTCCGGTTATCAATTTGATTATTATAAAATTACTTATAAAATTTTTAATCATGCGTATATATGTATCATAAAGCGACATCATTTTCTATTAATAAGAGCTTTAAATAATCCTCTTTGCCCGTCCGCAGATAAAACTCTACTTTGATTTCAAGATTTTAAAGAACTTCTAGCTCGTAAAAGTAAAATCATATAATTAAAGGAGTATACTCGGAACGAATATAGGAAGAAACATTGGACGAACGATTTTCTACACTAACCAATTTTCCAACAGAAATTTAATAAAATTGCAAAATATTATTGTGGCGTCGACAAAGCGATGAATAATCCTTTTTTCTTTTATCAATCTGAACGGTGTACTCGAGGTAAAGAATGTCCAGATATTGCATTTAATTCCATTATTGTCTCGTAAAAAAAACTACAAAAATAAACATCGAAAAGAATTAATTAATTGCAAGTTGTTTTATCGGCCACAATATAATTAGATAAAAAGCTATCAGATTTTTATATAAAGAAGTCACAATATTGTTGAGAATAAATGATAAACGAGGAGAAATGAGAAATAAATTTCAACACAATAAAAATCGAAAAAAATACGAGTAAATACAAAAATCAAGCTATTTTTTCTTTCCCTCGAAAAATAGAAAAGAAGAACCAATTTAATCTGCAAACAAAGCAATATTGCAACCGCGAATATCAAGAGATAGAAAGCTAACAATAAGTATTTCATAAAATTTGCCGATGAAATAAAAATAAATGCAATTTCATAGAATCGACATTTCAGATGCTCAAAAAATCATGTTTACATTTATCTAAAATTGAAAAACGTGCAAAGCGCATTTTTTTCTTATTTGCAGCATCTAAAAACTGAGTTCGTCAATACGATATCGAAATTATCATCGCAATTTTTGAGGAAAATGTTTGTGTAGAAACAATCAATCGCCCGAAATACGAATTCGATGAGAACGTCGACATTCTGAAATATTCAATGTCTAATACATCCGATACATAGGATTGTAAATATGTATGTATGTATGTACATGAGGTTAGGTGCTTGAGAGTATATGTGTACAAACTCGGCCAACATGTATACATAGATGTTAATTACGTTGATGTGTATTTATCGGCGCGGCACGAGCTCGATCATCTCGATCAAAAAAATATACATATCGATCTTCTGTGCGCCTAAGCAATCCTTTCCAAACGATAAGTGAAAAAAAAAGAACTATATTTGTTATAGACACACCAGTAGAGCACGTAAAAAAGATATTTTGACAAGTCTAATTAACTTAATTAAATAACTGAACAAGTGTTTAACGTACACATAATTCAACTATCTTGTTAAATAAGATATTATGTGTGAAGAAAGTACGACGTGTATCAGATCACGTCGAATTGAAATTAAATTGCTAATTTTCGCGATGCAATTATGTGTGCTGCAGCAAACTTAACACTCGGTCAGGTTAATCGCCGAACGATCGATCGATCGATGATACATGATAATACACAAATAAGCATCAAGTTTACGCTTTCGTGAGAATTCCAGTCGCGCTGGCAGGTCCAGCTAATATTGAATGTTGATTGACGTAAGCGACGAAGCTAATCATGTAACGATACGATTGTTAGCAAAAGTATGCGATCGAATTATACTAATTGATAAACAGCGGATCACTTGTGCTAAGATCTCCCTTTTATACATCTCGAAACATACATGTTTAAATCACAATTTCTTGAAGACGTAAGAATATTTTTCTTAAATATATGTATAGTAAAATTTAAAAAATTGATGCATTATATATATAATATCAAATTATTTTATTTTTAAACAAACAAAATTATTTTTTTAAATGAATTGCATTTTGGAATAATATTAATATTTTTAGTCATCAAAATTGTTTCGAACATTTCCCATAAACTACTATTTCTCATCATTATGATATCGATCGATACACACACGCACGCTACATCTTCTTGTTAATAATTTCTCTGTTAATAATTTCTCGTTAAGTTCCACGTGCAAAAGCATGAAGGCAACATCGAAGCACAAATGATCCATGTTAACTCGAACTTATTGTGCACCGCATTATATCGAAATAAGCTCTTACGTCACAAGTCCATTTACTACATGTTACAATCTAGGAGCCTATTAGCGTCAAAAAGTTAATTGTCCAAATATAATGATGATAGCCAATGATCCTGTCGACGAGAATTATCTTCATTATCACAAATATTTTTTTTAATGTCTAAAGCTCGATGAAGCGATTTATCTTTTTTAAAAGAAACAATTTATATTTTAAAGAAATCTCAAATGTCAAAAAAATTAATAGACCCTACAGTTTTTTTATAGCCAAACAATTAAAGTGTTGTAAATGACAAATTGAATGACTCGTCGACAGTATGTTAACAGCTGTTAAAATTAGTACGATAAGAAGTATATGGTAAGAATTTTGGAATGTACTGATCGATATATTGGAACAAGTTTCCTTGAGCAGAGAGCGTGTCCCCATCCAAACTTTCGCGTAACGTTTCTTGCCTACGACAGTAAAACGCGGAAACTTTGTCAACGATGTCGGCAGAATGTCGCGTCGGTCTTATAGTCAATATGTAACGATACAGGTCGATTATGAGAGTCTGCTAGATAAAATCGAAAGTGCACGAGAAATAGGACGAGAAGTGAAGACTATTTATTATCCAAGAATAATGTTGATGTAATTTCGATGGCCTAAAGTTCAGTCTTTACTGAAAACACACATCTATATCATTAGCTACAATCGCGCGCCGTGATTAACACACACTGATGATAATAAAATAAATTTTTAATAAAACTAGATTGCTCAATTTTTCTCCTCCTTTCCTGTATTACAGCTTTCTTCAAAAAGAAAAAAATAATTCAGATAATAATATATGTATATGTTTTATTCACGAATTATTTAACCTGTGATCTCGATCAAAATTTATTATATAATTTTCATATAATTTATTGCATCGTCTTCATATGACATTTATTATATCAATATTTTCAGTCCTACAATTTATTCAAATCGGAGAAAAAACTTTGAAGCAAAATGAAGCAGAAGATGACTCAAGTAAATCTTCTTTGTGTTTCATAAAAATCGCAATAAAAATAGTACAACACAAACTAGTTTAGTCCTTTCTGTTAACCCATTTGGCGAGAAACCGGTTTCTCTTATAGACGAGATTTACGTGTTTCTTCTCAATGTTTCATCATTATTTGATGAATAGTTCAGAGTGCAACAGAATAGATCAAACGAATAGTTCAAACAACAATTAATTTATAAACTTATCGGTAAGTAATATTATGAAATAATATTTTATCAATTTTGACATATATACAGCGAAAGTTTACAAATAAATCTGATGTA